ATTTTATCACTCGTATGATTACAGACCGAATTGGACTCCACTCAGTCCTATTACCATTATTAATATCACTCCAAATACATTGTGTTTGAGATTTTTAAAGAAAATTGACAGATTATTCGATCATTATTTTTTGTTTATCTGCGTTCTATTTACCCACCATTAAAAGACGCAGGGTTATAATAAATCTCGGCGCAGCATGTTTACAATCCGGTAGTTATATACCCGTGCCTTTTTTTCCAGACACTGAAGTCAGTTGTTGAGAATTCCAAAGAAGAGCTGGATTATCTAAACAGCACAGGTCACATGCTCGTACATGACGTGGATCATCAGCTGGTGAACTCTGCACTCATACAGGATCAGCTGGCCACACTGAATACTAATTACAAAGATGTTCTTTACAAACTGGAACTTGAACAAATCAAACTTGAGCAGGTATACTGAACGAACTTGTAAAGAGCTGACTTTAATCCTTCATCGGCACCTAGAATTTGTGATATCGGTTTACCTGGAAGATAACCAACCCACGGAGTATTAGATATGACTTTTGTTGCACCCTTATCTTGATGAGAGACTGAGGTGCATGTTAATGTTGTCATTTTAGCTTGCAGTCGTTCTTATGTCTCTACGTTGATTTTGACGATGGTTATGTGTTACAAAGCCGTTTCAACTGAAGTATTTCCTTTGGAGTACTCTTCAGCTGTTGATGTCATGATTTAAATTGACGTGTTTTGAGGAGTGGGGAGGGCAAACGACGAAGGAATTTCAATTTAGTTTTCCCCTTGAGGATGCCAGTGTCGTAACGTGTCCTCTTTACAGAACGTTTGCGACTGTTATAAATGAATGAGAGGATAATCGTGCAGCGCTTCAATAGTTTTATTTATTGACTCGTCTCAGGGAAAAAGAAATGCAAAATAAGAGAGAAACTTATGTCATGTTTCCTTTATATGATAAGTGAGTTGTGATTTACTACCCTACGTACTTGTCTACAGGTGATTGAGAACGCAGAAGATTTCCAAAGTGCCGTGGAAGTGTTTGAATCATGGCTGCCTAGAGTGTCCAGTGTGGTTCAACAGTTTGGTCCAATTTCCTCTGACCCCAAGGAAATCAAGAAACAACTGAAAGAGGCTGAGGCAAGTCACACTTGATTTGACCTGTTCATCTTCAATGTTTAAAATAAGGCTGCAGAGAAGTATTGCATCTCGCATTTTTATTAGTGTTTTTTTTTAAAGTGCGGGCCTTCAGTTGGACGAGTGAAGGGAATGTTTGCCGAAAAGGAATGGGTAACTGTTTCCTATTTATTTTGTCAATTCGTGTCCATGCAGATTTGTTCACTCCCGAACACGTTACCTTTGTCTAATAATACGTATCGGTATTATATCGCCCTCTGAAAGGAGCTCAGTCACAGTAATTTGAGTTACTTTAGCCACGTACAAATTTATCTTTAAATTGAAGGAAACATGAAAAGAGTGGTTTACCAAGATAGAAAAACACCAAATAGGTAATAATATACCGTAAAGGAACAAGGATGGCTAAAGATGGAGAAGATCGACAGGGACTACAAATGAAAAACTTGAAACTTGAAAATTTTAGGCTAAACTTTTCAAGATGGGCAAATCGTGCGTAGCTCCTTTAATGTCTGCCAGATACCTAAACAATCCATTATCTTACAGGACTTACAAGACGACCTCGAGAAAAACAAACCGTTGCTGCTGTCAGCTGAAGACAGTGGGCACAGATTGGTGGAGGTGTGTTCAGAGGAGCTGACTGTAGACTCTGTGGTAGCCACCAAGCTTGATCCGCTACAGAAGGCGTTTGAGATCCTGTATGTCGCGGTGGTGGACCGATTGGGTCAGCTGCAGATGAGACTTGTTCAGTCCCAGGAACTGGACGCGTCGCTTGCTGACGTCATTCGGTGGCTGGTGGAGATGGAGAAGACACTAAGCCGACAGGAACCCATTGCAGTTCAACCTGTTAAAGTTAACAGACAGAAGCAAGATCAAGAAGTAGGTTTTCATTGGTTGTATTGTTTGTTTTAGCTGATGGGTTAGTTTGTTGTTGTTGTTGTTGTTGGCAAATTAAATTAACTTGGCAAACAAAAAGATGAAGATTAGAGACTACATACATGCTGAAAGAACTGACAGAAACTGATCAAATTAAAGCATTTGTAAGTGTTAACATTGAACGATATTTTTTTTGTTAAAAACCATCAGATTTGGAGACGTTTGTTAGATGTGCTCTTGTAAATGTTGTAGCTTTTGATGTCACCATTGAAAGCAGATTTTTATTCTTTGCCTTTCAATACCGCTGTAATACAAAATATTACTATGCTCTTTTTGAGAAGTAGGCTAATTGTTCAGCGAAGATCTTGTTGTCGTGGATATTGAAATACGCGGATGTTAATGTGTTTGATATGGTAAATTTCCGTAGGTTTTCTGTAAAGAGATTGTGAGCCAACAACCAGTGATTCAACAAGTGGAAAGTAACGCTACTAATGCGATGATGTTTATGCCGTACGGACCAGACCGTGACGTACTCAAATACAAACTGGCAGATATCGACCGACGCTTTACTGCTGTGTCTGAGAAATCCACCCAGCGGAAACAGACTCTTGACTCCATCCAGCCCCTGACAGGACAGTACCATGACGTCATGAACGCGTTTTTGATTTATTTGGACAGCGCTGAAGATAAACTCGAGTCACTGAAGAAAGTACCACGTGACGAAGAGGGTGCTGCTCGCCACAAAGCCGACGCACAGGTAACGCGTGAGCTATGTGTTACATTCAGGTTGGAAAAGGGTTGCGTGACAAGTTGTTACTCACCTAACTATATTCACTTAGGAACGGGCTATTATGTTTTTGAGGGGTGGATTAAACAGAAAAAACGGCTGAAAAAAAAAAATGGATGAAGTGCTCTCTACTATCCAGGTCCTATTTTTGATGTTAAAAAGCATTCTTACACCAGCCATTGTCCACCCCAAAAGACCATGTACAACCTAAAGGTGAGCAAAAAATTTCATGCCCCAGAAAATTGCCTACCCCCTCCCACCGCCCCTTGCTCAAACAAATAATGGTCTGTCCTTCATATTATGATAGTGTTTCTTTTCTTCTACCTCTTCTTACTGTTAAGGGAATGAATAATTCCATCGGTTTTTTTTTTTCTCTAAACAAGCTTCTTTCAAAACGGTTTATCGACCAATTTTCCATGACATAAATCCGATACAAACTGAGGATTGTAGCAGAGAAATTGTCGGGTACTCCTCGTGTGGAGTTGGTCTTGCCGACATGTTGTCTTTCAATTGTGTTTCAGGCGTTCTTAGAAGGAGTAGAGAGTCACAGAGGCGTTCACCAACTGGTAAACATGTCTTCGAAGGCCTTGTTAGACTTCTGCCAAAGTAACGCTCTCAGTGTAGACACATCACACATCATAGATGACGTACACAATGCCAACACTCGCTATGACAAGCTGGGTGGAGCAAACTTTGACATGGAAAAACAGAGCCGAGTGGCTGAGCAGAGTGTCGGGCTATACCAGAAAGCTTTGCAACCTGTGCAGCAGACGTTTGTCGATGTTGACAGTTTTCTCGAGTCTGAGCCTGCGATAGGACTGGACGCAGAGAAGGGCAAGGAAGAACTGGTGAAAGTTGATGTACGTGGAAATGTGTTTCAGCTTTAGTTAGTCAATGTGCTAAGCTTCTTTATTTAAAAGCGGGATTACAAAGAGCTACGAGTTGTGATGATATGGTTTTTGTTTGCTACTGTTTATCGAAACCTAAAGTTAAGGAAGACTAAGGAAAGTTGCTTTCAGTGCATGTTCATTTGGTGAAATTCTTTGTTCATATTCTGGAATGATTCGGCGAGACTGAGAAATATACAGATTTGACGATGACTTTTGCGTTTTGCAAGATGTCAGTAGATGCTGTGAATCATTTCCATCACAAACCAAATGAACGTTTTCCCACCGACGTAGCAAAACGTTTCTTTGATTTGATTCAGTAGCGGTCGACCTCCTCTCTGACTCCACTCCCTCACCTACCCTACCCATACTTAGCGAAGATATACTCAAGTTAACACGCATCTGTTCTGCCAAATCTAGGAACTTTTGAGCACTCTTGAAGAGCAGAAAGCTGATTTGGAGGTTGTGGAAATGTCAGGTCCTCCTCGTGTGGAAAAAGCCGTGAACTTAGCGGAAGAACTGGCTATTGTGTCGCAGAAATATGACATGAATGTCAACAAGCTGAAACGACAGAAGGTATGGAACTGTTCATACAAGATTTTCGCTAAACTTTGTTCCTTTCTCTTTTGTGTCTGCGACAATTGCCCTGGAACCGAGGGTTTTAATTTTTTTATTTTAAGTATGATTATGATTATTATTATTATTATTATTATTATTATTATTACTATTATTTTTTAAAAATAATAATGAGGAGTGTAAAAAACTATTATTACTATTACTATTAAAACTAAATTACTAAATTACTATTATTATTATTATTATTATTATTATTATTATTATTATTATTATTATTATTAAGTTTTGCTAATTTGTCGTTCCGTAGTCCTTCTCACTCCTTCGAAATCTATATTTTCCTTGCTTCTTTTTGGATTATTGTTACAGTTATGTTATTTTTGTACCAAAATAAACAATTAGTTTAAGGGTTGCTTTGATTTGAAGGTAATTTGCCCGTCGTGACATGAATTCTTTACATGTTTTGTACAGGGTCGATTAACGAAGCACGTTGAAAAGCTGCTGATGTTTATGAAGATTCAGCATGAAGTAGAAGTTTGGAATGAGGAAATGTCTGAAACGATCAGTCGGTTGTCTCCAGTCAGTGAAGACAGCGAGAAGGCCAAGGCAGAGCTGGCAAATGCTAAGGTAGGAAAAAAAAGGGGTGTAGTACAGATCGAGTCTAGAATGAGAGGAGAATAAGCAAAGAGGGATACCAGAGACACTTCTAAACAAGGTGCACGCGCAATTTTTAAGCTCGAGATTTTGGAGGAAACTGAAAAGGCACTGAATTTCGAAGCTGAAAATAATCGGTGGTCATCGTGCAGTTTCAAAGCCCTAAATATTGTTGTGAAAGATAGATGTTCAGCATGTCGTCAACGCGGGACAAAGAAAAATGATCTGAGTCCCCACCTGACGGGATTCGAACCTATGACTTCGCAGATACCGGTCTTGCTTTGTAAACCATTGAGCTGAGGAAAGACACGTAGTAAACTGTAGGACATTTGTCCTGCAAGAGTTTTCGTTCAAGTCTTCTATAAAACCTTCGTTGCATCCTTGCAGGCCCTCAACGAAGAATTCCAAAAGTATCGTCCAAAGCTTGAAACACTTGAAGAAATCACGGATTATCTGCTAGAAACAGAAAAGGACGACCCTACTCTTGCAGCAGAAGTCAGAGAGAAGTTCAGCGCTGTGGAAGAGCCTTTTGAACGGCTCCACTCAACCGTTCTCCAGCGCCAAGCTCGTCTGCAGAATATCGTTATCCAGGGTCAAGATTTCCAGTTGTCGTTGAGTGAAGCACAAGATCAGTTGAACGAATTTGAGAGAAACATCGCTCAGCTACCAGCTATCACTGCTATTTACGAGGTAGTGCAGCAACAGAAGGAAGATCACGAGGTAAATAAAAAATAGTTGTTTTTTTCTGCCTTTAGAGCTTGAAAATTATGGTCCTTCTGGAGACAAACTTCCTCGAAGTAATGAATAAAGCCTTAGCGTGTGACCATTGACGTGATACGTACTAAGGAGCGCTTTTATGAAGTGCTGTATGGTTTTTTATTGTCATTAACTAAGTTTATCAGCTCTATAATTGACTGCAAACCGAATGTTTCAACTTCTCATGTAACCGAACGCAACACTTTTGTCAAAGTCAAAGTGATTTTAAAATTGTTTTCTTTTCACTGTCATTTTTTGATGTTTGTTTTTCCAGGGTCTGTATCTTGAGATCACCTTGAGAGAGGTTGTGTTCAATGAACTTCTCAAACTTGGCCGTGAGGTCCTGGAAAAGACCGAACCAGGCCCCAACCGTGAAGATCTTCAAAAGGACTTGAATAACCTTGAAAGCCGCTGGACGGATGTGTATTACAACACTGTAGAAAGGCAAGAGAAACTAGAGGAAATTGTACCGCTGGCTCAGAAGTACACTGACTCAGTCAGTGATCTCCTTCCGTGGTTAACAGAAACCGAGCAAATGGTAGCAGACTGTCACGTGACGATTGTCTGTGAAAAGCATGCGCTGATCAGGGAACAGACTTTCATTAAGGTTTGTGTGTTATGGCGTGGATTTTGTGAAATTATGGAGCCTTTTAGATCAAGAAACACTAAGGAATGGTTAGTGCGAATAGGCCATTTTCAGTATATTAAAATTGTAGCATGGTTTCGAGGCTTGGTGGAATAAAACAAAAGGAATTAATAAGTCATCCCTCAACCTCGATGTAATTTCTTTTGTTTTATTCCCCCAAGCCTCGGAGCCAAGTTATAATTTTAATGGATCAAAAATGGCCTATTGAGAGAAGTATATGTTTGCAATCAGACAGATTTTCTTCCTAAAGAGTTCGACACTCTCCAAACTAAATTTGAAAGACTTGGAAGTCCTTACAACTGAATTTGCTTGAAAACTAGTGAAGTTTGTTGTTTTGATCATTGGCTCAAAACTTCCGTTAGTAAATAATTTTAAAAGCAAACGAAACTCTTGTACAGGTTTTACTATAATGCTAGACATGAATTTAGAACTTGAGTAAGAAGCAAATCGTGGTTGTGTGACATGTTCTGCGTGATGACTGAAATAACTGTGAAATGGGACAACAGAAGCGCGTTAAAACGTTTTCTTCTTTTCCTTGAACAGTACCTGCAACAGTTCGTACAAGAGGATATAGAGGGGCACCGTCCAATCTATCGCTCACTTGTGGACAGCTCAGATGATTTACTTGAAAGCTGTGAAGATTTGTCCGTCACTGAAGGTGTGCCACAGATACAGGATGACGTCAAGGACATGATTGACAGGTGGAGCAAGGTAAACCAGTTTTATCTTGACAGACGAGGGCAGGTTTCCGAAGCCGCGCTAATTGTGAAGAAATACAGGAGCTTGCTGCTGCCAGTTGAAAACGAACTGGGCCGAGTGGAACGACGAATGGAGGAGTGTGCATATGAAGGAATCAATATCGAAGTTGGCAAGAAAAAGCTGGACACTTTGAAGGTACAGTAGCAGGCGAATGATAGCTGGTTTGTATTAAGAATAATAATCCTCTAAGGAGGTTCGCCTCCAAAATGTTCCCACCCACAGATTTTTTTAATAACACTTGCCATGCAGTAAGGTAAAGATCAACTATGGCCAAAAAGGTAAAACGATGGAGGGTCACCCTGTTCGTGTTCAAAATGAGGCGCATGGTAGACCATGCGTTTTAAGGAACTTTTGTTATTTTAAGACGTTCTTAGCGACTATCAGCAATAAAAGATGCTACAATAGTAAAATTTAGATCAGGTAAACGTTCTCAATTCAGCAAAACTAAGTATATTAAGTAACTTTTGCAGCTGATGTCGTTCCTTGAGGTATAACTACTCGCTTAAAAACTTGTGAAACTCATGGCTTATGTAAATAGACATTTCTTTTTGAACGTCCGAAGTGACTGCCTGAAATTCTCGCCGCAAGTTCCAATATTGAGCGGGGCTACGGGCAATGGGATGTCTCAAGGAGATTGTATATGTACGATGTTTTGAAGAGCGCTAAACTTTAAATATTATCAATGTAGAAATAGTTCGTATAGTGTGATCGTCCGGGTGAGTGTAGTTCTGAAAAGAAATGTTGTTGGTGACTGACGTTTCGACAACCTGAGCAGAAGTCATCTTCAGAGTCAAGTGAATGGTGTTTGTCAGTCGATGATGTTATAAGTCTGGTCCGTTGAACGTGATTGGTCAGTATAGCCATGATGGTATTGGCT